TACTTCTAAATTAGTAGATCATTTAAATGTGTTTGAAGATAACAGAAGGAATAAGTCATGGATCGTGAAGTAAAACAAAAATATTTATAAGCTTATATCGAAAAGAAATTATCAATAATAATGAATGTTCCCTTTAACAGGAAACGCCAAAGAATGAGATACCCAATAAGTATAATATAGTAACCTAGTAGGGTACTATAGTGTAGGCCTGTCTATTGATAGCGGAACCTAGCCTTGCCCTGTACGCCAGCGTAATGCAAAGCCTAGCCAAGGCCTAAGTTATTTTAATGTTAGTTAGCCTACACATTTAATTGGCTCAAGGACCATATTTAGCCTAAGGCATAGACTTTTTTCCAAACAGTTAATGGTTTACAGGCTAGGCCTATAGGGTTAAATGTGTCAACCTAAAGATTAGGCCTTTATACAACTCACCCAAGGGTTTCTAATATGAAAGTTACACCGCTTGGTAACTTATTTTGTACCTAAGTGCCTTTTACCACACAGCCTAGACAGTTCTTATATAATTATAAGATTCGTCCTTTTGCAATGTTTATGGGAAATGTCGGTAGGTACCGGTAGTCCTAACCATGTCCTAACTGTGTGATGATACAGCAATAAAATTTTACTTAAGAGCTACTAAACTAAGTAAATGCAATACAATAGCATAATAACAGCTAATGCTTATTGTTTTATTTGGACAACACTTGGAACAACACACAACAAACACTTTTAAAGACTATAAAAACTAACTTACAAGGGTGCACGGGGCTGGCACGGTAGAACGCATAACAATAAACTATCTTTTATACACTCAAGTGGGGCCTTGACTCAAATCCGACTTAAAAACAGACTTAAACACAACTTAAACACTTAAGACTTTGAAAACTCGCTATGGTATGGGGCACGGCAGGGGCAGACAAATGACAGAACGACAGAACAGTAAACAACTCTTTTGCTTCAATTGTATGAGAGTCGTTCATTTGAGATCAGCTCAATTTTATAGTTTGCGCATGCGCAGTAGGCTAGTCCAATTCCTGCCTTGAAACGCTCGCGAAAAAATTCATAGTTTTTTCTTCTCTTTACTTTTAAATGCTTTTCAGTTGTTCAGTTCTCTTCTCACTACTTCTCAGTTGTCATTGTCAGTGTCAGTTCCTTTCCTTCCAGAGCTGTTGTTGTCGTTGTCAGTTGTATTGTCATTCGTCGGTCTTCCGTCAATGCCTTCGCCTTGTCTAGTTTTGTCGTCCGTTGTCGCCGGTTTTTTGCCAATAAATTCTCTTTTGTTTAAGTTACTGTTACTGTTAAAGACTAGTTTTATGATTAAATTTTGAATTGAATAGACAACTACAAGTCTCAGGCCTGCGAGTGCTTCTTTTGTCAGTGAACGTTAAGCTTACAAGTTTCAGTTATGTAAGTAAAGTGATAAAACCACAACATTTTTCGTATAATATTGTTTAGGTAGGACTAGTATTTAATCAGTTTAAAATATTTTATCGCTTACCCTTAGCTATGCAATCATAGTCCTGGCTAAACCCTTTTTTGGTTCTTTGTTTGGTTCAAACACATTACCTAACCTAAAAATTCCCATCTTAAAGCAAGTAGGTGAGGTAGGCCTACTCTCTTTTAGGTCAGGTTAATTAATTGGAAAGGCAGTAAAAGGTAGGGATGAGCATCATAATTCATTGAGAAAGAGCTGCCAGATTAGTTAGGCTAGGTGAATAAGTTATTTTAACTCAAATTTGAAGGATGAACGTGGAATGGAGTGTGGTGATCTGAATTAGCTTTGTTACTGACTAAGATCAGCAGTTTAATTAGCCAGGATCATTTATTTAAAGCTTATGATCAGGTACAGCTGGGTCTTGATTTGAGCCATCTCAAAGCTACTGACTTTTCTCAGGATCGATCCGGTAACCTTTTGATTGTAAGGCGAGCACTAAGATACACCACTCAGGTACCTACCATCAATAAATAGGTCAACCAGCATCTTGGCCAATCGTAAAAACTATTTTCACTTCCTTGTGGCAGCAAACCTAACTATCATAATAGCTTATTGAAAAAAGTGGGTAAAAAGATATGTCTAGGCCTACGTAAGTTTGGGTTATGCATGTTAAGCTTTGACTTAGGCCTAGTGGCTGCACTTTACTTTAGGTCCTACACTCATTCGAATGAAAATATCGATCGATATATATCGATTATTCGATACCAAACGATATATTGATTGAAACAATCGAATAATCGATATTTTCATTCGGTTGTTTGTGTAGGACCGAAAGTAAAGTGCAGCCGTCCTAGTTTTCACCATGTAAGTTTAACTTCTAAATAGGCCTACCTACTTTTTTAGTCCTACAAATACAATATAAGTTAAGCAAAAATAATATAAGTACCGGTACAGTAGGTAATATGCTATCAATAAAGAGATGTTTAAGTTACCTAACCTAACTTGCTGTTACATTTCAAAATTCTGTTTGATATTCCCCACATGCCTTTTCTGTTAGGCTACCAAAGGGGATTTTGAAATTTATGGCCAATGCTTGGGGAGGGTTAAACGCGTGATTTGATATTGGAAAAATTGTTGTCGTTTTCTGATTTTCCGTGTTTATTTGACTTTTTCTGGGAAAACAACAGTCATTTTGAATTCATTGCGTTAAATTTATCATCATAATAGGTTAAAAAAATAATTCTCTTTTAACGCGGCGTCTGTGATTGATAGTTTACCAAGTTGCTTAACCTGAAGGTTTGCTGCGGCAGAGGTATTTGGTGCTTCCATTCTAATTATACTTTTTTATGTAGCTAAAAAAAATGGCGGAGGACCCAATGGACGTGTCTGCACCAACTGCCACTGAAATTGAATCCGCATCAGCTGTTGAAAATTCACAACCTCAGCCAGCAGAAACTGCAGAACAAGGATCTAGTGAGACCAAGGACACACCTACAAAAACTGATGAATCTGGAAAGAAAGTATACACAGAAGAAGAACGATTGAGACGAAAAGCATATTTCAAGTCTGTGCGGGATAGGAAAAAGTTAAATAGTGAGAGGTATAGGCAAAGGCAAAACCAAGCTAGAACGTCCCAAATAACCCCCAAGAGAAGAAACTTGCCTCCAAGGTCCATTCCGGATGTCAAAATTTCTTTCCAAATGACAAAAGAAGAAGACAAAGTTTTAGAGTTTTACAAAGTGAAGCTTTCAGCCCTAAAATCTACAAATGAACAGTTGCACAAAAGGCTGAACTTTCTCGTTAAAGAAAATATGCGTCTTTTGCAGGTATTTATTTCAACAGTTATTTAACAGATTAATAATCCCCCTGTTTGTTTAGAGTTAGTGACTTGGTTTATAGAGAATGTTTGAGAAGTATTCACTTTGTAGGCCTACTAATTTTTGGTTTTGTCTCCTTCCGTAACCTTTTAGATTTTTCGCTGTACTGGAACGTATTGCTTGGCAAACCTCTAGTTAGTATGTATTTAGGGCTACTTTAAAAATTGTGTTGGGGGTTAAGAAAAAAATTAAAAATTAGAGTTGTTTTGTTTTCTGTTTATAAGTTTAATTAACTATATCATACATCAGAGAAAATGATTATCTTGCTATATAAAAAATAAAATTCCACACAACCATTTGGGTTATCATCAATTGATTTAGAAACTTTTACTAAGCTTGTAAACTCAATTAGGCCTTCCACCATCTCCACCTTTGCCAACAAAACCAAGATAACCGAAAACGCCAAATAAATAAAGATCAATAAAGTCCTTCTTCTCCTACGTTGAGATTGTGCGCCAGGTTCGCTAGTAATAATTTAAGTCAAATACTTAAATAAATCAAATACTTACACTGTCAAACCATTTTTTAATTAGCCTAATGTTTTGTTTTCCAGATGGGGCCTCCATTGAAGACAGTATGATAGTCGTCCAGGTAATTCCTTACTATAATTTTTGTCTGTTCCATGGTGATATTTGTGTGTTTTATTTTAAATTCCTCTTTTATAGATATAGATGTTTGAATTCATTCTGTATTTAATAATGGATTATAAGCGAATAAAAGTAAGCAAAACGTGTTTTTAAATTATTTACCAACCCATTGAACTTAGCTATTCTTTTTCCTTTTTAAATAGTATCATCTCTCATAGACTGTACTAGGATATTCAAAAAGAATTTTGACAGAAACTAAATAAGATGTTACCTTAGAAAGAACAATGAAACAGATAGCCTATATTCAAGGAAGACAGGATCATTAAATAAATTTGTTGTCATACTGCAGCAATAACAGCCGTTTAAAATGCATGTGTCTAAAGTAGCATTTCTACTGTTAAAAGCGCTTTTGGCCCATAGGGAGTAAAAATCAGCATTTATCGAAAGTATGTATCGATTTTTTAGTTGGTTTTAGCTTATTGTTGCCTTGTTGTAAATAGTTCGACATATCTATAGTATAATGTAGCCTACACTAATACAATCGTAATAGACGATTGAATCACTTACTAAAAACATGCTTGTTTCCAATGTTTCCATAAGCAAATTAAATTAAAAACAAGTTAGAAGTCGTTTTGAGAGGTTATCTTTAAATGAAAACTATTTTGGTTTTGTAATGTAGTTTGTTCAAATAATAGTGCAATATAACAAAAAATATAGTTCATCACACGGACAAAAAATGTGTCTTTTCAACCCTCGCTAATTTTTTACAACCTCGCCTTGATCGTAAAACTTGAGCTGGGGTCGAAAACAGTCACTTTATGCCCAAGTGATAAAATATACAATTTTTACTACTATTTACTGGCTATTTAAGACAAATCTGGAGTATTTTTTAACTCTTGCCGGCACCTCTGATGGCACAAACATCTGGCTAGACAACATTTTCAGCTAATAACAACGTTAACATTTTTATGTGAATAATTAACAAATTTTACGCTTTATTGTTATAATTTATATAGCACAATTTAGGAACTTTTTCTTGCTGGTTGATAATGTATTTTGTAGATTATGTTTTTTACTCATTTGGGTTAATAAAGTACAAGGTTGTGTTCTCTTTTATGTTTATTAAAAAAAATTAAATAAATTATAGTCAGTCTGTTAGTTTGTTCTTCGTTAGTTAAATTTTAAAGCACAGTAACACCTTGATGATTTTACATTATTCAACTAATTGAGTATTTTTCAAGGATTTAATTTTGAAACAATAAAATAACTCAGACTTTTGTATAATGCGATATGGTGAACAAATTCTGAAGTTTTGCTGTAAAAGCAGTTACATACAGAAAATTTAATGGAGAAGATAAAAACTAGACAGGAAATAGGACTTACTAGTTTTTACTTAAGGAATCGGAACACATTTCAACCTTATAGCTCCGTATTTATAAATTCTTTGACATATTATTGCAATGAAATTATTCACAATAGATAGATTTATGTCTAGCCGTACACTAAAGTTTACTTGAAAAGTGAGGTTTATAACAAAACTATACCTGCACGTACAAGTTTTTGTGCTATTACTGCAATGGATATCTATATTAAACTGAAGCTTTGACTATCAATACAGCTTCAGTATCCAATAGTCAATGACGGAAGTCTCTAGATTTTAAGAGAATGTCAGTCAAACCAACAAGTTTTACCCAGGCATAGTGGTTAATCAGGTTTGATCAAGGATCAGTTAAGAGAGGGTCTACAGTAAAAGTTGTGCAAAAAGCTCAAATCATTAAGTTTTAATTCACAGTATTTCTTTTTAATTAGATCTTCCATTTCTTGAAGTAGAGTGGTTGAAGGTTTTTAATGCATTGATAAATTTGATACATTAAAATTTGATTCATCAAGGTTTCGCAGTATTTACGATAGACTGTGTGTGATGTTCAGCTGTCTAATTAGGTAATAATCTAGAAATATCCTTTGTACTGGATTATTTGACGAAAGTGATCTGCTATCATTTGGGAATTCGGTAAACTCCAGTTTTGGTAGTCTTTTGTGGTAAGATGCACTAGTCCAGTTGCCTAGGGCAAAAGGTTTCTCTGAGGCAGTGTAGGCGATGATCAGACCAGTACTTCTGCAACAGATATTGGAATGTCGATGAAAAGCGTTCTGGTATTGTGAAGATTCAAACATTAAATGGCACTAACAAAATAACTAGTGATCCGATTAAAGAGTTTTATTTATTTCTTAAACATTGATGCTATCTTGTTTCTGGAGCATCTTCAAAATTGTAATATTATTCATTGTAGAGATTACTGATCAAGTAAATGAGTCCAGTTATTTATTGAACTCGTTAAATATCTGTTACTGTACTTACCCAGCAGAACAGTGTTCCCCCATCAGAACCATAGTGGTTTTGGGTTTGCATTTACCACGGATATAATCCAAATATCCTTTGCATTTCCAACCGAGAAAACCAACTTTGCTGTTGATGGACTCGGCAAAGTATATTGTAGCTCGACGGTGATTACAGTTGAGAAAATCTAGACAACATAATATATCACATTGGATAAAAATCTTCATTTGAGTGAAATAAATATTACAGATTGGGTGCTTGTTGTGGTTGTACCGGCCACTTCACACCACAGGCCTCTGCATATTCTGCTGTGAGGTGTGGCATCTTTAAGGGTCTCTTACACTGATTATTTAACACTAAATTAAGTATAGAAAATATATACATTTTATGGTCTATTTGGTTTATACAGCACGATACGAGTTACCGCGGATGCCAGAACGTGCTACAACAGTTTGATATCAATTATTTATTAATTTTGTCTGACTTTCCATAATATATTGTGATTATTTTCAACCCTCATATATATTCATATATATATATATTCATATAAACACCTCCTATGAATATATCTGTACTGAAATTTAATGTCTATCACTATTCAATTACCTATCTTCATTAGTTTTTGTCAACTGCTTTAAATGGATTGTTATTTTGTCACAAATCAAACAGCTGTTCTTCTCCAAACACAGGCCTATATCACTTATCAGTTTTTGTCTAAAATTAATGCTAATCCTTATTTGCAAAGAATAAATAAATTAAAATTTCTAAACTGTACCTTGTTTATCATCAAAACACCCGGGTTGAGTGATTCCTCCATTCATATAGAAATCAATGTGGCCACAAGTTTGAATGTCTCCCTGCAAGCCGCCGTTTGTGTGAATCACGTCGACAAATTTGGCATCACTAGGATCAAGTCTACGAGTCTTACTCATCAGCGTAAATCCAGGGCCTGCAGGGTCTAAGCCTGTAGAATGTTTAAAACAAGTTTAGTTAATCTATATATTTATGGATACTGTATTACTATTTTTAGTTATTAACCAATGACAAATTCTAATGCCGCCAATGTTGTCCACGTTGATTGTTTAAACACATAACCAATTACAATTCAACTCCAATATACTCCAAAAATATGCAATTCCCCTTAAAATAAAATCTTCTGGATAGGACTAGACATCCTAGGCTTCCACGATAAGGTTTTGTGTTTCTACAAAATTAGCATTTTTTTATGTTTTTCTAAGGGAACAGTCCAAACCGTATCCATAACTTTGGTAATTTTGTGTTAAATAAAACAAAACATTATTGCCCTCCATTTATATTCCGAAATGATTCATTTTAACATATTTATTTGCTTCACAAAGAACAATAATTAACAATAGTAATGCAAACTGAAATAGTAAAACTAACCTGTTATTCTCGGAAGTTTATTTTTCCCCAGAGTGTTGGCCAAATAGTTAGCGACTTGTGCCCCTAGACTGAAGCCTATGATGTGTATATCGTTGGATTTGTGTCGGCGCAACCCTGTCACTACCGGAGCCAAACACTTTCCTACGTGTTCTATGTTGACAATAGCTGTAAGGTAGCACCATGACTTCTCCACCAGTTTAGGGTAGTTGACCATCCATATGTTTGCATCATTCTGCTTCAGATATTCTAAAAAAAATAATAATCATTTACCCTCTCTAGTTGATAATTGACACTACAGAGAAGGAAGGTTCAGATGGTTCTGGTACACTTGAGAGCGGACGGTTGTCCCATAAGCGAGATTCCTCAGTACCTTACTTCTTTGTGGTGACACTTTCGAGACCAAAAAGAAGTCCATTTGACAAAAAGTTTCAAACTACTGTAAATGTGCCAAGAGAGCGCTTCAATGTTGGTTTATAAACTTTAATATTTTACTGGAACTAATTTAGTTCTGGTGTTCTATAATTTTGACTAGACGTGAAAAATGCTTGTAAAATACAAAAACCCTACCTGCCTTAATATTTTGCAGAACGTCTAAATTCATATCAGTATTAAAACCATGGATGATTATTTTGTTTGGGTTCTTTGGATTGAAGTTGGAAGATGTTAGGTTGTCTGATGACTCGAAGAATTCAATGTATTGTCCATTTTCAGGATTTTCTCTGAAATAGAATAGGTACATAGAGTAACACAATATATTATTTTCTTAATTGTTCACAAACCAACGTTAGAGGGAAATCTTGAAAAGACTGTGAAAGACTCATGAAATCAGTATGGATATAAACAAATATATTCCTAGGCCCAAGTCCAATAAACAATATAAAAAGTTGCACTTTAATGTTTTCACATTAGTTTGTCGTTTTAAAAATAGTCGTTAAAAGCATTATTGTTGTTTTACATTTAGCCTGCTCATACATTTTTGGTTTCAAGTTTAAACTCTACTTTGCTTGGCATATTTTGATTTGGAATGTTTTGTGTGTTTTAACGCCATTTGCATTTTTTATGTTTTTTATTGGGTCTGATGATAATGGGAGTGTCGAAACAAAATCGATCACCACTTACCATCTTTTATATGTATTTAGCCTCTTGTGAGTCAACAGTATAAGTGTAAATATATTGTTACAAGTGGTATTAGACTTTTTTTGTATTTTCAGGTAATTTATTAACATGTTGGTTTTTTTTAAGGAGTCAGTTTTTACTGCCATAAAAGCTGTATCCTCATAGAGGCTATTTGGAAATTAATTTTTATCATTTAATCGGTAACAGTTTGCGAAATTACTTAGGGTTAATAGCAGTTAATCTAGATTGTTCTGAGTGAGCTTCTTGATATAAGGCTTTGCATGACTTGAATTATGATAAATATAAAACTTATGTAAGACATCAGATCAATAAAGGTACAAAGTATATAATATTTAACTACAGACTGACTTAATGTGACATGATGTACCTGGTATACAAATATAACTGTATATAGTCTGGGTCAGGGCATGGCTCTGGCTCTGCCACCACCAAACATGGTCCTACGTGATGTTTTTTGGTGTACACAAGATCTAAAACACAACACCTCTGAATCACTCTCATACTAAATATAAGGTAATGCCTGGAATACGGTGTCAGGTGGTCCTAGTTTTAGCTTGACGAACAATATTTTTTTTTACTAAAGGTTCAATTTCAATTTTTGTGGGATTGGTTTTTAACTATTCACAAACACTTGTAAAAAAACAAATAACCATCCATCTAAAACTAAAATCATCCGACACTAATCCAGACAAGTTCACCCTTTGGTCCGAACATTGCACTTGAATATCGATACAAAAAATTAAATAATTTAAAGTTAATACAACTTGACCACTCCCTTCCTCTACACAGCAGTTTTTCAAATGTTTGATAGGCGATTTTTTTAAACTTCTAAAACAATCAAATAAATGGTAAATATATAATTTAATTTATGGTACATTGATGGTAAATATTATGAAGTCAGTTGGATTATTTTCAAAATGTAAAGAATTTCCAGCTGCGAGGGGGAACAGGGTTCACTCAAGCCACTGGCAATTTTTGTGGGAGATTTTATTTCTCATATTTTCTATGATATTTTATCAAGTTCTTCTACAAGTAACCCAAATTTTTAAATTAAATTCATAAACTCTATTAATTCTTGCAATACAATTTTGGTTATTCATTATTAATATTTCTTCATTGCAACAACACGATGTCTCCATGAGCCCAAGAAGACGCCCCTTAATTTCACCGTGATCACAAAATGTTTTTTTTTATCACGAAATGTGATTTTGGTATTTTTATGACCTTTAATTTTATGTAGCATGTTTTATTGTTGTATTATTGGCTTTTGCATTAAGTTACCATGACAAGATCGATTGAATGTATTTTGCTTGAATATCAATAAATGTCTTATGTCTTTATGTCTTGCAGAGTTAAATAGATTTATCCAATTTAACAAATTTGACTAGTAACTAAGCAAATTTAAAGCATTACTTACCCAAAAGTAAAGCCAAAATTAAAATTTGTAAGCTGAAGTTGGTCTTCATTTGTTTTGAATTCAGATTTGTTTAATCCAAGACAGTTAGTTGCATCCAGTAAAACTGATTCTGTTATTTATTTTACAAGAATCGGTTGTGAATCATCTAAAACCAATCTGACTGTAGTAATTTTATAAGAATATAACTATGTTTCATGAACCAACTCTTCAGTTGATTCTTGTATTAATGACATATCTATTTTTTTCTTTGTTTTGCTGTACCGGTATTTAAAGGTGGCAATTTCTATAATAGTATCTATACAACAACTTATTTGTACTACCTCCAAAAGTAACTTTAAATTTATATCTTAAATCTGTAATTTAGAAAAATAATCCTCAAAGAACGGAAGATTGAAGATAACCGTTATATTTATGATTTATTTTAAAATTTTAAAACCTGTATCAATATTGAGTTGGAATACATATTTTTCAATTATTGGTATCCTTTTAATAAAAAGATATTTTTTCAACTCGTAGGCCTATGTAAACAATGTAGCTTAGTTTTGTCTCCTAAATATTTTTTTACTTCAAAATAGAAAACATATTCATTCAACATGTTATTGGTTGTACACATAATTATGCACTGGTTTCTCAACCAAAATTTAGATTTAGATGAATAGGTTCATTTACTAGAATAATTTCTCTAAACATCGTTAATTTAACACATATTATTGATTTCTCCACCAAAATTTAGATAAATAGGTTCATAGACTAGAATAATGTCGCTAAGAAATTAGGCCTACTTACCGTAATAATAAATACTGTAACATACTCAAGATGAATATACTCACAACAATATGGCTGTACTGGATGTCATGTTCAAGGCATTGGTTGTATAACAAACCAATCACAGACTAGTTTCTGACCAACTGGCCAACTGGGTCAGTGAAGGCTACTAACATTCCACTGTAAGATCAGCTGTTGTAACAATCACCTTGCAGCTTATCCAATCAGCTGTTAATCCTGCTGGTGCCTTATGGTTATAACCTTGCTGGTGCCATAGTGATTATAGTGGTCTAAATTGTTTCTACTCTTGGTAAGGCTTATTAATCTTAACATTCATAGATGACTTGGAGGAATATTATTTAGTTATCATTTTTATTTTGATCTGACTTTTTTGTTTTTTTTTAATTGAAAGTAATATCTCAAATTTAAGGTCATTGGTCTTTATTAAAAAGTGTTTGAAAACATACAAAGCTGTTATCACAAAAACGGTACTGTAATTAGGTATATCAAATTTGAAAACAAATCACTGTAGTTCTAAGTTTAATATTTTCATTTCGTACAAGGTACAAAACAACCATTTACTTTGATGTAATTGTGTATGTTTATTCATCTTCAAATAATCAAATATGTTATGCATGATATTTTTATTTGAAAATAAATTTTGAATAGCTAAAATTACTACTTACTTTCCGTATTCCGGAAATCAGACTTCGCTTTTCCAAAAATTAGCTACCGATATGGCTTTGTTATTCGCATGTAAAAGATCATCTAATGTGCAAGACTGGTCTAGGCGTGGGCAGATCAGCAGATGGCCAAGATCCTGAACAGCACCACACGCGCACAAGATGTTTTCTTCGTCTGGTAAGAGACCCCATTTCTGCATGTTTGTCTTGCATTTTGGTACCTCAACCCTAATTCGATTTAGGGTCTTCCACACCGTGTAATGAAGGCCTCCATCAGGAGCCAGTTCCTCCCTGACTGGTATGGGAGGGTTAGTCAACGTGGCCTCCCACCTTGCCACCCGATTGATGGAGAGTGATCCATCCAGGACTCGTGTCTGTTATAAAAAGCTCTTTCTGGACCGAAGCCGTCGCTCTGCAGGTTGGTGGCCGTGTAATGGGTGACGAGGGTCTGTCTCTTGCTTAGTCCTTTCTGTGTTGGTAGTGACATCACGTCGGATTGATGGAGGGGCGATCCCTATGATAGGATAGAGTTTGTGTACTGGGGTTGGTTTTAAAATCCCAGTTACAATCCGAGCCATGTCATTGACTGCAATATCAACCTCTTTTGCATGTGACGATGCATTCCATACTGGTGCAGCGTACTCCGCAGCCGACAACACTGAGCGCTAAAGGTGAGGTTCTGAGGACATTGGGGTTAGCACCCCAGCATCTGCTGGTGAGCTTCCTGATGATATTATTCCTTGCTGAGACTTTACCTCTTGTCGCAGTGCAATGCGCCTTAAATGTCAGTGTGTGGTCCAGTATGACACCAAGATATTTGGGTGTAGGACAATGCTGAAGACGGTCTCCCCGCCACCTCACATTCAACTCACGGCCTGCTTCTCTATTGTTTAGGTGAAAGGCACAATCTTGGGTCTTAGCAGGGTTCGGCTTGAGGTGATTTGCGTCATAGTACTGGGAAAGTTCATTTATAGTCATAGTCAGCTTCTGTTCCACCTCTTCAAAACTACTACCTTGTGCCGCCACCGCCGTATCATCGGCATATATATACTGACGTGTAGCGTTTGGCAACGGTTGGTCGTTAGTGTAAATCTTATAAAGAGCTGGGGCTAAGACGCTACCCTGAGGCAATCCATTTCTTTGATTCCTCCATCTACTTTTCTTGCCCTGAAGGGACACGATAAACCGCCTGTTATGAAGAAAAATGCCTATCATTGAAGTTGCACAGAAGGAACCTCCCCGAAGATTGTGACCATTCCACGCTATGAACGACATCACAATCGGGCGCACCCCGGGCAATGCTGACATGTCAGCGGCAAATCCTTCTACAACCGGACGACTTCGAAAAATGAATCTGCTAAAATTACTTTACTAAAATCAAAATAAATTAATTTTGTAAACGACATAAATCTCAATTTTGTATATTGTAGCCTATGAGGACCTAATGATTGAACTGTATCTATAGAACAATCATCAATTATTATTGAGTTTGATTATACATATGATTTTATACCTTCAGTGATAGTTTTTAATCTTGCTGAGTTAGTATAGAATTAATTAAACACACTTACTTTCTTGGATATTTCATAAATAAACAGTAGCTGCTAACAAAACTTGTATTGTTCAATATCTTTTCCTCGTCTTAACTAAGGAATATTGTACACTGTCTTGTTTGTTGACTGTTTTGAAGATAATGAGTTGGCATTGCTTATCATTATGCACTCAAGCACAGACAATATAATACTTTAATTAATGCTCAAGAGTCAGAAAAGTAGTTTTTTTTTATCAGTTAAATTAGGAAAATAACCATTGATAGTATCGCAATTTTGAAAACTGGTAACAGTTGTGGTTGTAGTAAATTACTAGTTAAGTTAGACAAAATAAAAAGGTTTAAATTTTATTTGAAGATTCAATACTGCCTTAGTATAAACTTTAAAATATCGTTTTCCCTTTTTTGTTTAATTTGTCTACCAAAACAAACTAAGTAAATGATCCCATTTGTTTCCCTTGAATATAATTTTAAAATCAGAGTAGCAAGAATACATGAACATAAGAAAATATGTTTTTGTTTGGTTAGGAAAGGCTGCTAAACTTGGACACACATTAGGATTAAATCAAAACAAAAACAGATGAGTAAGGATTATTTGCAAGGACAAACCATCTAACTCTTCTTAAGGTCATTTAGTCACTTCTTAAAACTAATTTGTGATTACCTTCGTCTTATTTATTTACCAAAAATCCCAGTATCACTGAAACATTACAAAGAAAAAATATATCAGACTATTTTTTATGTCGTTTTATAGTATTTTATAGCTGTAAACAATAATAAAATGTATATGTATATTATTTAATTATGTATTTTATATGTATTTAGGATATGTTTACACAATTTTATATACTTCTAAAAAAAAGGCGCATACCTGTCTGAAAAAAAATATTTGATTTTTTATGATGTTTTATAGGCCTAGTATTTTATAGCTGAACATAATAATAAAATGTATATATAACTAGTGGCTTGTAGGGACATAAGTCCCTAAAAAGCTGAAATGTAAAACAACATATTGCAATTCCGGTATTTAAACAAACTCAGAATAACATTATCTATGTGTCAGAATAGGCATCCCTACACCATATCTTTTGTGTAAAAACCAGTTTGTTGTTCTTTTTTGTTGCTTTTGTTGATGTCATTTTCAATAAATAATTTGAATCACTCCAGTGGTTTAACATTAAAAGGCAGCAAACATATCATTGTTTGTGAATAAATACTGGTTTACTTAGGTAGCTTTGGTCTTATGGTTAATGAGGATAAAAAAAAGCTGCTCTGTTTGGAATTTAAAAAATTAATTGGAGGATCGCCTTCAGATGAATTGAAGACACCTGCAATTTCATCTGCAGTATGCTTATTATACCTACGACGATCCATATTTATCCTGTCTACAAACCTAAGTTCTAATTCACTGTCACCTTGTACAACCATTTCTTCCGAAGCTCTTTTGTAAATTTGTGCAAATGGATTTTCTAATAGAATTTCTGCTAGTTTTGACAATATTTCAGGTTTTAAGTCACTATTTTCTCGACGCCTTTTACGAATTTCTGTTGCTGTTGATGTGTCAATAATGTACCATTGGCCATACACGGGGTATTCATCATGTTGAGGCAGCAAATCTGAGATTGAACGATAAATCTGTCCTTGAATTTTGAAACAGTATGGTCCTTTTCCTGGAATATCTTTCTTACTGGCTGAAAAATAAGCAAAAGCCATCGCACTGTTGTATTGTCGAATGAATTTATACAGTTGTGGGCTCTCTTCAAACAAATTTTTAAGTTCTACATTAGTTTTTGGCTGAGGAAGGTTAATAAGTCCGTTATGGCAACATGTCATAAAATGATTATTCGTTAGTTCTTCTCTAAAATGAAGAGCACTACATTGAATGCACTCTTGGTCCAGTAATCCTGCATCATGGATATTTACATTTCTCTCGTCTACCATGGGTCTCCTAAAAAGGGGTTGTAACATATCTTGATTAAGTTCGTCATTATCTACTCTTGCTCTTCTACGCGCACTGTCATTCCTATGAACAGCTCCCCGCCTTTGTGGTCTTCCCCTGGCGTTCATATTAATTACAGTACTTATAATGAAAAGAATATATATCCAGCAGCCTACATACCAAAACATCTTGAATCCCTGGTGATTTTATGAAAGTATGATCGAATATGATTACTCTACGTTGTATATTCACTGCACTAAAAAAATATTTACTTACGAAGGAATGCAAATACACCAGTTTAGAACCAATAACATTTGTAGGTTATTTTAGTTGTATATATTAACACAACCTTAACCTTAAAATGTGTAGAAATATAAAGAAAACAACATCATTCAAAATAAACTTGAACATATGATTTAAAAATAAAAACAAAACAGAAGTTAGATTTAATTTCGACTCTTTGATTATTTATACAGAATATTTATTCTATGTCGTTTATTCCTTTAACACGACAATAACGTAAAAGTATGAAAAAAATTAAACTTAAGTATATGATTTAAATATAAACAAAGAATGGAGACGTTTTTCCGATTAATCTTCAAGATTTCAGTTTTATTATAGTATACATTTCATAGTTGACTGGCTAAAAGTTGCGTGTATTGATCACCGTTTTCAAGATATAGCACGATCAGCTGTATTGAAGTAAACAGAAATCAGCAGTAAATGACTTCTGTTTTAATTTCAAAAGATGTAAACAAATTAAACCCCATGTTGTTTTAATGGGAAAAGTTTTATTCTGTTGCGAATTTATGGTAAAAAAATACCCCCGCCGCAGCAAACCTGCCGTCTAAGCGAATTTCCATTTGGCCGAATTGATTTTCAATTGATCTATTTAAATAACATTAGGTTTAACGAGTACCTAGGTTTGCTGCTACAGGGAAACTAATAAAGTAGTGTGTTTTTAGTAAAATATTTATAGCTTACTATAAAATAAATAAATTTGCCAAGTTTGATCAAAATATATCTATAAACAAGCAAACTACAACATTTTTCAATATTCTCCATAAGAATAACATGGGAATTTTAAATTTACCATTTTTTTAGTTTTCTCCGTAACCAATAACCGTACAAAAACACTTTGATATACTGAATTGTTTGTTTTTTTAAGCTCTTTAAGAAGGTTTAGAGAAAAATTGGGAAATTTTGTGTTTTGAGGGTAAGAAGTGAGAAAAACCAATTTTTACCCCATAAAACCCCCCATAAAACCCTGTTCCCATGGTCCGATCATGCTGGATCGCGAACTCATTCAAGTTTATCCCGCCTTACACCTTCAAACCAAATTTCATCAAAATCGGATAAAAAATACTCAAGTTATCGTGTTCACGGACACATATATATATATATAAATCTATATATATACCTATATATATATATATATAAAAATTTGAACGAATGGTGTTTTTGGCCTCTGGGGACATTAAAATGAAAATGTAAATCGGTTCCGGGCCTAAGTCTTACCATGAGACCTACGGTAATAGCTACTTCCCTATAGGGAAATTCGCTAATAAGAAAAATGAATAGTTTTCCCTCAAAATTCACGTCAAGACCTTTAAAATAAGACCCCTTTCATCCTTCTACGGCCATCCAGTCACTCACAATTTCTTTACAAAAATTTGACTTACGGAATTATATATATAGATAGATTATGTATTTTGTATGTATATTTATATGTATTTAGAATAAGTTTACACTATTTGTTATACCTCTCAAAAAATATCTCATGGAAAACCACTCTATTGGGTTCAGAGGGACCCAAATTTTCACCCCAAACTCAAACTCAAAAATCTTTAAAGTAAAAATTAAAACACCCATTTGATGATGATTCTTTTATTCTAATTTGATCAATATCCTCCATAACTTATTATTTTAATCTCAATATTCTACTAACAGGTATAGGTCTATACAATATGAAATATTCTTATCAAACAGAGTATACTTATGATTTTATCCGATCAAAGCTCGGTCCCCTGGTACTTCTTACCAAATCAACCAAGGAGTACATTTGTAAAGAAGTGCTTTTCAAACAAAAAATAACAGCTCATCATTATCTATAAAAATGTTCTCCAGATCACAACAAATATTAATAATAGATTAAACTATAGAAATGGGGCGGTCGCTAAAAAAAAAAAATACTTTGATACAACTAGGCCAGAACATGATGTAAGAATTTTCTTTGAGGGAGGCAAGTTTATAAAATATAAAAAAAACTCGTTTGTATGCTAATTCTATTTTTATAAACGGTCATAGTTATTTTCCTCCAATTATTGAGGGAGCAACTGTCCATCTTTACACTTCTCCTCCTCCTCCTCAACCACCAAGGACTACATTAATGTATACTCAGTTACTCAAATGATTGGTTTTCTGTTTTGATAATATTCACTGGCGTAGTCTCCAAGAGCAAAAGGTTCTTCTAAAGCAGTCTCAACGAGATACACACCTGAGCTTCTGAAACATATTTGAAGCCACACAATTTTATTGATACATATGTAACATCTATGAGCGCCTGCAGAATTTAGAACAGGGGGCTGCAACAGATAACAAAAATTCGGAGGTCTGGGAACCCCTTGGAATTTTTTTTTTTTAATATGGTGTTTTAAAACGAAGTTTTGAATTTACCATTATGTAATGTGCTTTTATAAATTGCTAATTAATGAAAGTAATTAGAGAACATTTTAGCTATTACATTTATTTCCTAATTTGTTAGCCAGGGTGCAAGTGCTGGTGTTTTTGGCATCTAGGGACAATCCATCCCGTGTCTCGGTCTTACCATGAGATCTAAGATAAAGCTTATATTCTCTATAGGGGTATTTTTTTAGAGATATATTATTCTAGAGATGTAATTGTACTGCTATAGCAATAGTTGATAAAAAAATATTTAAAAAACAAAGCGATGGATAGCTACTAATCCTGTTCATCTATCGTACACATGTTTACCTTATTTTGCCTGTGTTTATATATCATTTAAAACATACATACCCGATAGGACAGTGTTCACCCATAGGAATCAGCGGTCTTTTGGGCTCACATGTATTCAGTGAAATGTCGAGATAGTCTTCGCACTTCCAACCCAGGAAACCAACTCTGCTATTGATTGACTCAGCGAAATATTTTGGCGCTCTGAAGTGATTACAGGATATGATGTCTAGAGAACAATATGCCCAAGTAAGATGTCTGCAGCAAACATGGATAACTCCTAACCCTAACTGCATCCATGTACAGGATTAGGCAAAACTATGGATAACCCCACCCCACTTAACCTTTCAGTGGGTAACACCAGGAAAACTTTTATGGTTTAAAAGTGCACATGTTGACAGTTTTCCTCTAGACTCCAAGGTGGGCCAAAAGTACACTCTTACTTACACCATATAAAGAGTGTAGTTTCGTTTTTCTGGTACCAAATGAAAAGGTAAAGGTAAACAGAGCTTTTCACACATTAAACATTTTCTTCTTCCTGAGAGACCCGATCTAGCTGGTTCGTGAACTCATTCCTGTTTATCCATCTTTACAAATTAATGTCAAATTTTTCAAATTCGGGACAAATTTACTTGAGTTATTGTGTTTACAGACATATAAACAACATTGCTTGATTTGCAGGGGAACATGGCGGAACGGAGTTCTAGTACCTCTATTTTGGAAAGACCTTGGCATAAATAGGTAGGCTACACAAATAATAGGTACTAATCGCATTAATAGGTTACAGTTCCGGCACCTCATTTGTTGCAAATAGAGCTCTGCATATAAATATAAACAATTTTGGATGAATAGTGTTTTTGGCCTTTAGGAACATCAAAATGAAAATGTAAATCGGTCCTGGGTCTAGGTCTTTCCTTGCTGCCTACGGAAATAGTTTCTTCCCCATAGAGAAATTCACTAAAGGAAATATTTTACAATCAATACAATTTTTTCCTTGCTCCTTGAACTACCTGCATCACTTCCAAGTATACATCCAGGTTGAGCAGATCCTCCGTTGACATAGAAGTCTATGTGTCCGCAAGTCTCGATGTCGCCTAAACCACCACCATTTGTGTGGATCACATCCACAAACCTAGCATCGCTGGGATCTAGTCTTTCCTCCTCTTCCCGCAATGTGAAATCTGGTCCTGCAGGATCTAAACCTGTGGGATTGATACACGTAGTTAGTATTGTGCTGGATTATTTAACACCGAGAGCTGGTCTTATTATGGTACCACAAACACTAAATACGTACCTATATTGTCCTGATTTATTCATTACCTATTGAAATTATTTTCTGTAATCTTTCTTACTCACGTCTTCTGGATCTGTTAAGGCTGTTTCCAGAGCGAAAGTAAGATTTAGTGTTAAGAATTAACACGTTTTAGGGGAAAAAATAACACTCTTTAAATGAATCAGCTTACTTCTCGTGATCAGCTTACTTGTCGTGATCATTGAACTTGTAATAGATCTTCATGGGTTAAGAATTTTTGCTGATGCCCAAACGCACCTGGTCTAGCCCACAATCATATTTCATTCCATTAATTTGTCTTGTTTTTCTTCAGAAAATGGTTTTAAAGAAGTCTAACTACCTTTTGTTATACATTAGAGTATTATTTATTCAAAAACAAGTAGGTTTTAAAGAATTATTGAATACTTTTTTCAAATTTAGCTCTTTACAAAAAAGTAACTTGAAAGTTTTTACCGTTTAACTAACCTGTTATTCTCGGTAGCTTATGTTTCCCCAGATTGTTGGCCACATGATTACAGACTTGTCCTCCAAGACTGAAGCCGATAACGTGTATGTTGAAGGATCTGTGTCGTCGCAGCCCTGTCACCACGGGAGCCAAACACTTGCCTATGTGTTTTATGTTCGACACGGCCGACAAGTAGCACTCTACGCCTCCCACTAGCTTTGGGTAGTTTGCCATAAATACATTGACGTTGGTATGTTTTAAGTATTCTAAACAAAAACATGAGTGTGTAAACTATATGATGTATAAGGTGAGTAGAGACTTATGTACACAGAACTTTATGTGGTAGACACACTATTCACTATAAACTTTGAAGTGCACTAGTCATCTATGGTATTGACATGTTGTATCTTTGTTGAAATTTTTCCCTGTTTAATACTTGAATCACATGATTCATCTATCCTGGCTCAACTCATTTTATAAATTTGAAATTCATACCTTTCTTAATATTTTGTAGAACCTCTTCATTCATATCCGAATTAAAACCATGTAAGATTAATTTGTTTGAATGTCTCGGATTAAAGTGTGAATGTGTCAGATTGTCTGATCCCTCCAAAAAATCAATAGGTTGTCCAACTTCAGGATTTCTCCTGAAATAAAATGAAAATTACTTCACAAAATTAAAAGTTTTATCTTATTATACATTTTAATTTTGTCATACTGTGCAGCAAAAATAGCCGGTTTCAATACATGTGTTGCGGATCTGAAGCAGGTCTTTTCTCCCTAGGTAGTAAAAAGCGTTTGAGCAAATTTTCATATAGGGAAGTATTGAATTTCATAACCGTAGGTGACATGGTAAGACCTAGACCTCGGACTGATTTAATTTTTCATTTTGGATATCCACAGATGCCAAAAACACTATTCGTTTGGTTTTTGTCCCATTTTGATAAAATTTTGCTTGAAGGTGTAGGGCAGGATTAACTTGAATGAGTTTGCGAACGAGCAAGATTGTTCATTGAAACGGGGTAGGGTGGTTTAGAAATTAAAAAACATTTCTCAAATTTTAACTCTGAAAACATGAAAATGCCCAATTTTTAGTACAGTTAGGTAGGTATCATGTAGAGCTTAAAACTAAACAATTTTGTATATTAAAGCGTTGTCGTAAAATTTAATGATATGGAGAAAATTCCAAAAAACATCTGTACAGAGCTGTACATGTAAAGGTATATATGAAACACTCAATTTTACAAAGAGGACTGACTGGTTTACAAAATACTTCTGCTACTAATACCAATCAATTTATTAAGGTAAAAAAAAAATAATAAAGTAATAGTGCATATTCAATTTTTTATGAATTTGCTATAGGGAGTCTTGTTTTTCGTATTCTTGTTTTTTCAGGGGCTGATTTTTACTTACATAATCTGTTTGCAAACTTAGTTACCTGGTAAACAAAAACACCTGGATATCCGGGTCTGGGCAGGGTTCAGGCTCTTCCACTACCAAGCAAGGCCCAATAAATACTTTCTCAGTGGCTACATAACCTGTGGAAAAAATGTTAAAGCGATAAATAAAGCTCATGGTGGAAGCAAAATACATAGGTGTGCTATTCCCTTCATTTGCTGAGGTCATTCAGATTGCAAAAAAAAATTACCTGATTGTATCACCATATAAGTATATTTGTTTTGATTTTATTGTTATTGTTTTTATAATTTTTTCTTAATGGTGAAATGGTGTTTGCAATCTGGGTGACGTCAGCATATGACGGGAATAGCACGACTATGTTTTTTTCCTTCCACCATGAATAAAGCCAGTAAAAACACCTTACTCTCTTTTATTCCATGGTCTCTAAATGGAACTAGGTGAACCCGTGCGAATTCGCACAAATAAATTAGGATATATTGTAGCAACGTAGAAGTTGCGTCGTTGTATCGAAGTTGGTCTTGAGCTCGATCGTTGGCTATATACATTCTAAGTTATTTTTGCAGTTCAGTAGGGGTATTTTGCAGGACGGAGCTTATCATGCTGAAAACTTGCGCAAATGGATTAATATCAACCAAATGTTTAGTCAAAATGTGCATGAGTTCAGTGCTGCAAGAGCCATTAGCTTTTTTTAACATTCTTTCTTGAACAGCGGATTCGTCGTCGTAGATATAAATTTGGGCATATGTGGGATGCTCCCCTTCTGACAGTTGAAAGGTGCCAATAGAGTGATGAACTGTGTCCTGCACCTTATACATGAAAGGCCTTCCACCGTTATGTTCTTCAATTTTAGCTCGAGTGCTGACCATTGCGAGCGCAGAGTTGTACGATCTAATGTTCTCTTCGTAGTTTCTGATCAAATGATTTGCTCCATTTGGTAGGCTCTGTATATAATAGCTTTCTCGGTATGGTGGTAGATTCAATTTTCCTTTATTGCAGCAGGATGAAAATCCTTCGCCTCGTCCTCTTTGTTCTTCTTTAAAATGTAGCACACCACATTTCTGACATTTTAATGCCATCTCGCCGAGTGAATGCTGCTGAGTTCCTGTATTTGTCAGTGTAATTTTGTAAGTACACGTTGCCACTAACTGTTCCAGCTCCTCGTCTGGGCTCATTACGTTTTGCATTGCTTGCCGTATGTTGACTCGCCGTGTCCGACCTGCAATATTTCTTTGTCGTCGGGTCCTTTGCATGTTTTAACTAAAATAAAATGTAAAACTTTTCTCCCGTCGTGTCCCATAGGTAACATTTCTTTGCCGGCTTTCTAATTATTTTTTTAAAAACATGCAAACTGTTTACATTTCAAAACCAAACATAACAGCTGGGATTTCTTTTACTAATGTATTGCCATCTGTTTCAGAATATAATAACATTCAAATCAATCACAATGTTATCCTTATGGAAGGAACTTTGAGGGCAGCCCACGCCCTTCAAAAGATATATTTCGAAAATATAAAGCCAGTTTGCACATCTACACACCTAGACGAACATTTTGGTATATAATATGTGGGGTTAAATCTTAAAACACAAAAGCCTTATTGTTCACAAAGTTTCATGTCGCGTATTAAATATATAGATTCCAAGATTATCTTATGGAAAGAACTTGCCAAAGCTTCCATAATTCCACCTCTGTAAACCAAGTGTCCATTAGAAGTTGTCATCAAGTAATTACTAAGGCTCGTTTCACATCTACCCGGCTTCTACCCGGCATGCCGTTAACCCGACTTCTAGCCAGCACCGGCACGAGTGCACCTTTCACATTACGCCGACACCGGCACTCCGGCAGTTGTACTCCAGCATGTGAAACTTGTGTGTCGTATGGATGGAAATGGAACGTAATAGAGCAATTGTAATGTTACTTTGAAATAACTTTTATTGCAATTGCATTTATATTTGGATTTTTTAAAATGTCATTCTGTTTGAATTTGAGTAAAATTCAATTCAATGTTATGTAATAAAATAAAATAAAATAAATGAAAAATAAAATTGAGTAAAAATTCAATTTAATTCAAATAATTCTGCTCTTGAACTAAACTAATAAGTAGTTCATGGTCTATTTCCGACATGACCAAAACTTTGCGAACAAATACCCAAAATTAATACACAATAACTACAAACGACTGAACTAAAAGTATTCTTGGTGCACCCGACAGACGGCAGGTGCCGGTTGTATGTGAACAGTCACATTGGACCGCTTGAATTTCTTTTATTTATCATATGACTTTGTTTACATTAATTTGTTTTTGTTTTGTTTCACTGAAAGAAGCTAACTCACAATAATTTGCTACAGAATACAAATTTGTATTAAAACATAAATCAAGTTTCTTTCATAGTACATAGCAGATGGCGACGAGGAACTTTATTTTTGAACCCTTTGATGATAATGAAGAAACATGGAACAGCTACCTAGAAAGACTAGAAATAGCTTTTGTATTCAACAGTATTTCTGAGGAAAACAAGACAATAACACTGCTTCACGTTATTGGAAAGAAAACTTATGGAACACTTAGAGATTTGTTACAACCTACCTAAATTGCCTACGGAGTTTTCGTATAAAGAATTAATTAAACAACTCACCAAACACTTTTCACCACCACCAAACGAAGTAGCAGAAGCTTTCAAATTCCACAATAGACGTCAACAGGAAGGTGAAGACATACAGCACTTTGCAACGGAATTGAAAGGATTGTCAAGATACTGCAACTTTGGCAACTTTCTCAACACAGCATTACGAAATCAGTTCATACAAGGATTGAGAAATGAAGCGATTCAAGCCAAATTGATCAGCGAATCGGTCTCAACTATGGACAAAGCACTGGAGCTGGCAACTACACTCGAGAAAGCCTACCAGGATGCAGCAACACTACACCGTGGTGATAACATATCAATTGGAGTTGACAAAGTAAGTAACAACATCCATCCTAATAAAGTTTGCTACAGATGTGGAAAATCACATACAACACCTTGTCCACATATCAACACCTTTTGTAATTATTGCAAAAAAATTGGTCATATTGCTAAAGTCTGTTTGTCAAATCCAAATGCAGTGATAAAATTACCAACTAAAAAGTTTGGAACTATTTCTACAACTAAAAATGTTAAAGCTGTACACAAAGAGTTAAATCTAACATCTGACACAGTAGGTGTCCATGAATCCACACACAATGTTTTTGATATTTTGTATAATTCCAAAGGTTCAAATGATAAAATCTTGCTAAAAGTTAATCTTAATGACCGACCAACTACAATGGAATTAGACACTGGGTCTGGAGCGTCAATCATGTCGCACTATAACTTTAAAAGAATTTCCAAGCCACAGACCGTTGCAACCAAGCAATGTTATTTTCAGAGATTACAATAAACACTGTTTTTCTCCAATAGGTAAAACTATGGTAAAAGTTAACTATCATGGACAGACCAAAGTTTTACCTCTATACATTGTGGAAGGAGACCGTGATACTCTATTTGGTAGGGATTGTGAAGTGCAAATAAAACTCATTATGAATAGACCTAATGATAGGTTTATTTGCACTTCAATTTAATAAACTCTGAAGTCAACATACAAATACAAAATGTAAATAGTAAACAAAGAACAACTGTGAGACAATAAATAAATTCATAAATACAGTAAGGAATAATAACAGTTCATATGTATAAAAATATTATCACATTCTTCCCACCCTAAAACGAGACGTAGTCTTTTAGATAGTAAGGTCTTTGCCGTATACGCTGTGGATGCGTTTTGGAAGGCACTGAACTTGAGTCTTTGCAAGAACTGTTTGCATGTTCAACTGGTACATTCGTGTCACTTAATGTCCCACTAGAATCATTTTCAACTTGTTCTTGATCAAATGAAACCTCCGGTTCTTGAATAACTTGTTCATTTCCACATGTTTCTGGCAATTGGTAGTCTGTTTCTAAAGATGATTGTCCAGGTGCTGGGGCCAGATCTCTTATGGATACTGTCTTCTCTTGTCCATTTGGGAGTTTCACATGAGCATAACCTGGATTTGCTTGAATAAGTTCTACCTCTTCTACAAGTGAGTCATACTTGCTGGGTCTGTTGTGCTTTCTCAACAGCACTGGGCCGGGTTGTGACAGCCAGCTTGGAACTGAACCTCCATAATACGATCTTCTGGGGTGCTTAAACATCAGTTCATGAGGTGTTGTATTGGTTGATGTACATAATAATGATCTTATTGAGTGAAGTGCTTCAGGAAGAACTGATTCCCAATACTTTACGGGTAGGTCTTGGGTTCTGAGGGCAAGCATAACAGTCTTCCATATAGTGCCATTGAATCTCTCTACTTGGCCATTCCCTCTAGGATTATAAGCAGAAGAGTGGCTTGACGCAACACCATGAGTTTGTAAGAAAGACTTTAATTCGTCTGACATTAATGACGGTCCTCGGTCTGAATGAATGAATGAAGGCATACCAAAAATTGTAAACATTTCTTTCAGTTTCTCAATCACGGTACTGGAAGTCATGTCTCTACAGGGGAAAGCAAATGGATATCGTGAATACTCGTCTACAACAGTTAATATGTATTTATTTTGCGTAGCACTTGGAATTGGTCCTTTAAAGTCTAAGTTTAGTCGCTCAAAAGGTGCTGTAGCTTTGATTAACGTACCTTCATATTTACAAAACCTAGGCTTAAGTTCAGCACAAATTCGACATTGAGCTGTAGTACGACGAACTTCTTCCAGTGAAAAAGGTAAGTTTTTCGATCTAATCCAGTGGTAAAATCTTGTCACTCCCGGGTGACACAGGCTCGTGTGGATATCATTTAAGTTTGGACGACCACAAATCGTTCCACACAATCGTGACATGGTGTCTGCAACTCCATTTTCCTTGCCTGGTCGATATACGATATCATACTTGAAACAAGACAGTTCTAAACGCCAACGTTGTATCTTTTCATTCTTTATTTTTCCAAATCTCTTATTGTCAAACATGAAAGAAACTGATCTTTGGTCTGTAATGAGTAGGAATGGCCGGCCAATAAGATAGTGTCTCCACTTCTTAAGAGATTCTACGATTGCTTGAGCTTCTTTTTCAACA